CCTTTATAGTTTACCAAGCAGTTTTGGAGAACAATGGGTTGCAAATAATCAGAACTTACTGTACCTGAGTGACCCGTGTAATGTGCATAGTAAATATGACAAGGGGAGGGTGGGCCTGGAGGGAACTCTTGAAAGTTCACAGTCTGAAAGGTCTCTAACCTGCGCTTGGGGGATCGATCTGTCTTTACTGATTGCAAAGGAAACTCAAAGACTTCGGAATTGTATCTATTAAAAGCCAAGTGACATCATTCTCTTCCCTGGTCTATAAGCAGCGCCACTGAGCTTGCTGAGGCATTAATGGGGCTGGTGATGGCCGCTTAGTCTTGTGTAAATAGACCTTTAGGGTACAGTCATGACTTTGCCATTAAGCATGAAGCCACCGGGAGAGTCCTCATGAAAACACATAAAATCTCAGATCTTTCATTGCTAATCTCTTTGGAGTTTGCTTTATTTATACCTGTGTAAATGTGTTGTAGCAACAGCCCATTTCATAAACACAGCCACCTCATTGCTCCTTAATAAACAGGAAGGTATTAATAAACAGCCACCTCTCATTTTAAGGCAACTTGGCATATAGAACTTGGCTAAAAATTAAGCAGCAAATGGATGTCTTAATTTATTACATGTTCTTGTATTTGTTTTAAAGGGATGTTGAGGTGGCCTTGATCTGATTTCTGGCTCAAGTGGGAAGCCCAGATGTCTGTCATCTATCTCATACCCTGGGCCCTGATACACCTGTGGAGTGGAGGGTTCCCTCTATTGCTTATAAAACCTTAAAGATACCTTGAAAAACTTTTTAGATATTTTTCTCTTTCTTTCAGCTTAAACTATGAACCTTCTGCCTCTGCCACTGGAGATACAGAGATAACATTGTCATGGGAAGATGGTCACCACAAGAGCTATTACCTGTAGCATGGGTGATAAGGACCATTCTAAGGTCAGGGGACAGAGTACCAGGGGAGCAGAGGAGAAAGGGTGTTGAATTCTCTTGGCCAGACTGGGGTGTGGGTGTGATATGGGATGAGATTAGTGGGGGAGTTGAGAAAAGAGATGGCATTTAAGCTGGACCTTGAGGGCGCCTGGGTGGCTCAGTTGGTTAAACGACTGCCTTTGGCTCAGGTCATGATCCTGGAGTCCCGGGATCGAGTCCCGCATCGGGCTCCCTGCTCGGCGGGAAGTCTGCTTCTCCCTCTGACCCTCCTCTCTCTCATGCTCTCTGTCTCTCATTCTCTCTGTCTCAGATAAATAAATAAATAAAATCTTTAAAAAAATAAAATAAAATAAAATAAACTGGACCTTGAAGAATTTCCTTGGATGGAAAGGGACTGGGAGGGTGTGTATGTGTTTGTGTGGTGGGGACAGGGAAGAAAGTTTTCCAGAGCAATGGAAGAACCCAGAACTCTTTGTGTTTGTATTTAGAAAGAGAAAGAGTTCTGCACAGTTGGAGTGTGGGAATCAGCTGGAGGGAGGGGTAGGCCCAGGAAAGAGTTCGCTGAACACATCTCGCTTCCCTAGCTCATCGGTGAGAAGGAACAAAGCTGTGGAAGCTTTAGTTGGCCCACGTTTAGCTCACCAAGATAAGAAGGCAGAGAGTCATGGCAAAAGGACGCAACGGGGGGAAAAGGCCAAGAAGGACAAAGCTTTCTGTTTTCCTAGGAGTACAGATGATTATCATGATTTTAGACAGCAGATGTCAGAAAATGTACCACTGAGGGCCTGACTCAGCAAAGATGTTAACAGAGAAGGTGCTTTAGTGATCTGTGTAGACACGTCAGTGTGGGTGAAGTGGCTCAGAGGCTTATGGCCGCCATTTGTGATCCTACAGAGTGTCACTGCTTCTTTGGCTTTCATTTTCAGCATTTTTATTTCCAGATTTATTTTGGTGATTAATTTTTACCGTATGATTATCTGTATTTATTTTAGATGAGTAACATTTGTGTTTAAATACATTTTCTGTACTCTTAAGGCTGATTTCATTGGCCTGAGGTTAATTTTTTTTCCTTGAGGAATATAATTCCATTTTTTACCAAGAGACTCAATGGGAAAATTCTACTTTATCACCAGTTTTAAGTAATTTGAGTATTCCATACATCAGTTACAATCATGTTTGCCAGAGTTTCACAATTGAAATATATTACCTGTGTTGAATATTTGCCATTTGCCAATCCCAGTGAGCATTTCACCTGTCTCCATTCTGCTCTGTGCCCACCACCGGCTGGGCTTCCTTGCCGGCTGATGTCCAAGGCAGCAGCTCGCTCCATCCCTCTCAGGGCTCGGGCAATCACCCCCCGCTCCTTTCTCCCCGCAGGCCTCAGGGTGCTCCCTTTTGTTGGAAGCTCCCGTCTGCCATCTTCAGTCCCTCAGCCCCATCTACATCTTTGTTAATTCCTCAGTTGCTCTCTGAACATTCCCAGTTTCCTGCAGGACCTGACTGATGCATTATGTAGATAAAGTTCACAGAAAGCACATTGAAGATACATCTATGATGCTTTCATAAGTTTACTAAATAAATTGCATTCAGTGGAGTACAATTAGGAAACAGCTTTTTTTCCTTTACATCGAAATGTAACGTAAAACATCTTAAAGATGTACCGACAACTAACAGTGTTCTTTAGGGCTTTTTCTCCCTCACCTCTTGAAAACGCCTCAGGCAGAGTTGTATTTTGGTTGTTAGTGAAGAGTTATATTTTGGAGATAGATATATATATATCCCTGCCATTATATATATATATATGTGTGTTAGAAACCTAGTTCACCCTAAAAGAAACACACAAACACAACTCCAGACTTCCCATCCTGTATGCAATTTAAAAGCTTCCCTCAAGCTCTCTACCCTCTCCTCAGCTCAATTCTGACTGGAAGCTTGGGGTTTGACGGTAGCAAAGACGGGCAATACTGTCCTTCCACTCTCTCCTTTCTTCCCCTGTCCCCTCAGGTCCCCAAACTGTGGATTTTTGTAAACATCCAGGGTGGGGGTAAGATACCAGCCTCCCCTCTGGCAAGTGCTGGCCTTCCCAGTGATTCGCTGGAAAAGCCTTCCTCGGTTGGCTCCAGACGGGCGTCGGCATCCCTCTCACCTGTGCATATAAATTTGCTTTTGAGGAACGAACTTTCTTTCTTTCTTTTTTATTTTATTATGTTTTGTTAGTCACCATACAGTACATCAAGGAACTTTCTTTCTAATGCATTTCTAGTTTTCCCTTTCATAGGCTGCCGGGGAGGTGAACAATGGATGAGCGTGGCCCCCTTTTAATAATTCCTGAGAGGATGTGTCTGGTGCCTCCCTAGGAGGACACTGTCATCTGTTTCAACAGCCTTGCAGCTTTAGCTAAAACCGTGAGACATCAGGAAATGTCTAATCTCGCATCCCGTTATGTGAGCATATATTAAAAGGCATATTAAGAAGAAGAGGAATACAGATGGAAGGAAGAAAGGCTTTCTCCACTCTGCCCTGTGGATTTCTACAACACCATTTTCATGTTTGGCAATTGTACCTCATTAAATGAATTACGACTATGGCAAATCTTGAATTAAAAATATTTGTAACTGAATAAAGCCATTCTGTTATTAAACGTAATTGCTTTATTTCCTCACATATTCACAGGAGATGCCATAGATCTTATTTGGAGTTTTAATAAATTTTTAAAAATCACCATCAAGGAATAAGGTTCTGATTACTCAAGCAACCACACTAACCAAAAGCGGAGCCACTTTTTTTTTTTTTTTTACCTTTTGCTTTGAGAGATGTTCATCTCAGGTCCTAATTTGCCCAATAAGTCTGAGGCAGTGATTAGCAAACTAAAGGCCAAATCTGGCCAGCAGCCTTTTTCTGTAGACAAATTTTTATTGGAACATAGCCATGACGATCTATTTAAGTACTGTCTATGACTGTTTTTGTATTACAACTGAGCACAGTTGAGCAGTCGCAACAGAGAACACATGACCTGCAGTGCTGAAAACATTTATTATCTGACAGAAAAAGTTTGCTGACCTTGGTCTAAGATAATGTTTCTGAATATTCTTTGACTATCATTTATGCTAGGAGCTCCCTGAAAGCAGAGACCAAATACGATTTCTCTTTGTATCTTTAGTGCCTATCACACTGTCCTGTTGGAAAGAAGTGCTCAAGTCCAGAATGAATGAAAGTAACCTAATGCAGCTGCATAAATAATCATGCTCCGCCCACCCCAACCTTAAAGACTATGGGAAAGAGCCACTGAAAACCAGGCGGAGCGTGATTTTCTACTAGGACAGTTTTGGTTTGACTTTCAGGAAGATCTGTATCCATTACTCTGATCTTGGTGTGCTGAACAGGGTTGCTCCTGTTCTCATTTCAGCAATTCAGGGGTGGGTGGGAAGGCAGGGATGTGGGGGAGGGACCAGTGCAACTTTTGCTGCCGCAAGAGAACTGGGGCAAAGGCATTTATGAGGAGGTCCCAGTGTCCAGGTGCTGGGCAGCATGGTCAAGGAATTGCTAAACTGACATCTTGGCTTGTTTGTCTTCCCAAAAGCACTCGCCCCAGCAGGCATATTCTGTCTTAACATTTGGTACTCTGTGGAAAAGGAGATGTTTGGGAGGCAAATGTAGCCTGTTCTCTGTACTCCTTCCTTTGTTTCAATGCTCCTGTTGACTTTCTCTACATATGTAAATGTAGATTAGTTTTTGTAAAAAAAAATTTATAGATCTAATACCTTGTTTGTATAGGCAATTGGAAAGGGCCCAGGAAAATACTCTTGGCCGGTTTCCTTTAATAACCAAGCCAGAAGTGGCAGTTATGTAGGAAGTTTATTACCACCCTGGCCCTTCTACTGTCAGACATCACTAATAGATCCCCGCATGCTTTCTGACAGACACAGCCTCCGAATCCTTCCTAAAACGTTCCAAGTAACTGCCACCAATTGGTCAGAATTGGCACACGAGATGAAACCTTCCTTGCCAAAGCTGGTTTTGCATATTTCTAGGTGCGAGGATCTCATTCCGCCTTTTATTTCTTCCTCAGCTCCTCATGTGGAAATGTATCCAGGCCCCAAAGGCAGGAACAGGGAAGGGCTGGCAGGCAAAGCGAGGCATTCTCGGCAGAATGCGGAGCACAGATAACAATGTGAGGTGACCAGCTGGAGTAACGCGGAGTACACACTGGGAAGTCACATGAAATGAACATGGAATCAGAAGGAAGAGCTAGATTGAGGTAAGCATGGGCATCTAGGCCAAGACATTTGAATGCGATTTGGGAAGTCAGTGCTCCCGAAGGCTGGTAAGGGTATTAGGGTTCTCCAGAGAAACAGAACCAATAGGATAGGAGATGTACACACACACACACACACACACACAGACACACACACACAAAGGGGTAAGGGTGGGCATTTTTTTAAGGAGTCGGCTCTTGTGAGTGTGGAAGTTGGCAAGTTCAAAATTTGCGGGGCAGGTGATCGGGCTGGAAATTGTAGCAGGAGCTGATGTTGCAATCTTGAATCCTACGGCAGTCCGGAGGCAGAATTCCTTCTTTGGAGGACCTCAGTCTTTTCTCTCAAGTCCTTCACCAGATTGGATGAGGCTCACCCACATTGTGGAGGGTCGGATCATTTGCTTTGCTCAAGGTTTACTGATTTAAATTTTAACATCTAACAATGATGTCACAGAAATTATTGGCTAGAACAAAGTTCATTTAAGTGAAACAGAGTTGATTTAAAGAAAATTATTAAATAAATATTGTGTGCAGATGGTATAGGGATATGTCAAGTATATATGTACTAAAATGGCTGAGGTCAGAGAATGGTAAGCGACAGAATTGCTATACTCTTGTCACAAGGAAATGTCATAAGGAAATGTTTGGTTTTTTTTTAATAAAGATTTTATTTGTTTGACAGAGAGAGAGAGAGAGGGAACAAGCAGGAGGAGCGGCAGAGGGAGAGGGAGAAGCAGGCTCCCCGCTGAGCAGGGAGCCCGATGCGGGACTCGATCCCAGGACCCTGGGATCCCATGACCTGAGCCAAAGGCAGATGCTTAACAGACTGAGCCACCCAGGCGCCCCAGGAAATGGCATTTTAAGGAGATTAATTCTGCTGCCTTGAACAAAGGCCATGACAGAAAATATTCACCAACAAATAATAAATATGAAAATGTTCTCTCCTGTTATAGTAGTAAAATCATGCCTTTTCTAAAGATGCTAACTTTTTGCCAGATTTCCCGAATGTAATCTTCCCAGTGTGCTTTTTAAAAAGTAGTTGTTTGTTCTTTTTCTCCCCCCCTAACAAATAGAAGTTTTAAATTTTATGAATCTTAGTAGTTGGGTCTTCTGCTTTATGATTTCTTAAAAGGATTTTAAGCTTAGAAAGTCATCCTGGTTTGGTTTTTGTTTTGTTTTGTTTGAGATATTGATTGATTGATTGATTGATTGATTGATTCCTCTGAAAGAGAGAGAGCAGAGGGAGAGGGAGAAGCAGGCTCCCCACTGAGCAGGGAGCCCGATGCGGGGCTCGATCCCAGGACCCTGGGATCATGACCTGAGCTGAAGGCAAGATGCTCATGACCCCGGGATTGTGACCTGAGCCACCCTGGCACCCCTCATCCTGGGTCTTAAATTCACAGGTCTAACACCTTGCTTGGGCATTTGGAAAAAGATATTTTTAAATATTTAACTTTTTGGTGTATCTGGGGCTTATTTTGTTGTACACTAGGAGCGATGCATCTAGACTAATTTTATTTTCCTTAAATTCCTACTCAGTTACTCCTGTACAAGTTCCTTTTTGGTGATGTCATTTTTATTTTCTAGCAAATTCTTACATGGATCCAGATCAATTTCCGGACTAACTCTGGTCTGTGTTCTGTGTCTATACATTGTTTCTTTCAGTAGTAAATTACTTTAATGATACGATACGGCCTTATATCTAAATATGTAGTGTGGCTAGTCCCATCTCATATGCTTTCTTCAAGACTTTCAGTGATAAACTTATTTTTCTTCCTGAGAACATCAGAATCTAGTCAGATTCTCCAGAAGTTTCATAGAATGTTAATTGGATTTTGTGTAAATCATTGTGAGGGTTATAATGAATTCATGTATAATTCATTCTGTATGACTTTATGCACATTTTCAATCAACTTTTGATGTTTGTGACTATAGAGCACAGATCAGATTTGAGTCAATGAATTAATCTAAAATAATAATGAAGACATGTTATCTCCATTGCCCCCTTAACTTGAGCAATTTAGATGTATAAATAGCCAAATTGAATTTAATTCCCTTCATTTTTGCACCTAAATGTCTGGTCTAGGTGTAATCCAACAATCAGGGATCCAAAGGCTGGCCTCAGGGAGCAGAATAAAAGAAACGATGATAAACATTGTCAGTGAAAGGATTTAGAAGCTCTTGAAGGGTAATTCACATTTCAACTTTTAACTTTCATTTTAATTCCCCAGGACTTCAAATGGAAACCCGTGATCCCTTCTGCAAGGATCTTCACCTGGGGTGTTTTAAAATTTCTTTTTCTCATTTCCTTTGCCCTTCTCATGCTGGTAGTATCTGAACAGCCTGTTCTCCTGGCTCTGGTTAATTCTTGGTACTCTTGAATCTCTCCTGACAGCAGAAAGCAGTGATCAGACAGGTTGAATGATTCAATGGAAATGTAATCTGATCTCATCTTAGCCATAGGTAAGAAGCAACCTGCTGGGAACCAGAATTGTAATGCTGGGAATTATCTGATTCCTGCAGCCCTCTCTTCTTTCTCTGCCCTGGTGAATGATGGCTGAGATTTGAAATTTAAGGCATGTAAAACATGGTAAACATCGATTTGTTGACTTGCCCATTGAACCGGACATATTGCCTTCTTGCAGGTAAAACTAAAGGTCACGAGTTCTAGATTTTATTTATAAGGGCAAAGCATTGGAGTGTATCCACTTAAGTTGCTTCTCGATTCAGGGATGTCTTCTTTTCCTTTAAACTATTCTTCCAGCTTTGGGGCCCGGTGCAAAAGCAAAGCAAAACAGCAACCAAAAAGCAAAGGACTCTCCGACAATACAACACCTGAGCTGCAAAGATGGACGACCTGTAGAACAGAGTTGACATGATGTGACCAGTCAGTTCCCAGATGTGAAGGAAAGGAATCCTCTGCAGCGGACTAAGGAAGGCCAGTTACAATGCAGGGAAACCGAGAACTGGTAGGAAAAAGTGGATAAACTTACAGGAGAAGAGAGAAAAACTGGACATAAAAGTATAAGGAACAGAAAACACAGGAAACTTTAGTGTTGGTGGTGACCCGTTACACTGCTGTCCCCCAGCGATCACATCTCCCTGTATTTGCCCTTGTGTAGTCCTCGCTCTTTGAACTGGAATAGGGCCCGTGACTCATTCTGACTGACTAGAAATGGTGGAGTGATGCTGTACGCCTTCTTGTGTCTATATGGGAAGACTTAAGAAGTTCTGCTTCTGGGCTCTGAACCCCTATCTGCTTTATAAGGATTCTGTTACTCTGCTGGCACTTTGTGGAGAGGCCATGGGAGAAAAGCCCAGCTCTTCGGTGCCCAGCCAAGCCCAGGCCCCTGCTGACCGACAGCTGGATGAATCCATAGAGTGGCAAGGTCAACAGAAGAGTCACCTGGCTGAGCCCAGCCCAGATTACAGAATTGTGAGCAAATAAAATGGCCATTGTTTTAAGCCAGGAAGTTTTAGGCTGGTTTGTTCTATCACAGAACATAACCGTTGGGATGATAACGGAGAAGCATCAAGGACCAAGGCCCAGGGACTCTGTTGTCTCGGACAGCATGGTGTGGAGGGAAGATTCAGGTCTGGATCCACAGCAAGCTTGGGTCATAGCCTCACTTTTTAGCTTTTTGCTCTGTGGACTGGGGCAAATTATTTAGTCTTTCAGGGCCTCAGTTCTGTTATCTGTAAAATGAGAAAAATATTTCTTCCCTCACAGGATAGTTAAGAAATGAAATGAGTGAAAGTTTGGGGCACATATTAAGGACCCGCCAGACATGAGTTCTGTTCCATTTCCTCCTTACGGTTCCCTCCCTCACCCCCCACCCCCCAGGTCTGACCTAAACTGCATTAACCCTTAAGGGTAGTCCTGTGCCCTGCTAAAGGTCATTCTGTCATAGGTTGGTTTTGCACTGTGTATGTAGTTCATAAACAACCACTACGTTTATATGAAAAAAAAGTAATCCACGAAATTCTAAGTGATGGATTTTTTTTTTTTTTAATGATGGTAGCTTCTGGGGCCAGTGTGCCTCTGTGTCTATATCCTGGAATACACCTGCTCCTCTGGAGTACCACAACTTTTTATTAGACTAAGCTTGGGCCATGAAGGAACATTACATTCAGTTTATTTTATTGCAGATGGTAGGAAGGCATGCACTAGATTTCCATTAGATTTTCACCAAAAAACTTCCTAATGTTTGTAAAGTTCACTTAGGCAAAAATTGCACATTTTGAGGCAGCACAGGATAAAATTTGGTTCTTACTGAACCCCCCACCTTCATACTAGAAGGTGAGTTAGGACCCTGGAAAGATAGAAGTCCCATATTGAGTGTCTGAATTATGTTAAAACTGTGCAGACTCCAAGTTTCCAAGCCTTCTGAGAGAAAATACACATACATCCATACACTCACATACACACATGCACACACACGAATGAAAGAGAGGACTAAGGAGAGAAGAAGTAAACCTGCCATGACCTCAGTTTCCAATTTGTAAAATGAGAAAGCCAGACTAGAAGGTTCTCCAAAGCCATTTCCTGCTCTAAGTGTAGCAGACATCTCAAATGCTGGACCTGTATTAGCCCTTTGTGGACAGGGAGATGAAGAACACGGGTTGCTCTCCAGCAAAACTTTAATTGCAGAGCTTTAATTAGAAAAAGAATCAAAATTCTCTTTCAGATTATGTTTTTTTTTATTTTATTTTTATTTATTTATTTATTTTATTCTTATGTTAATCCCCATACATTACATCATTAGTTTTAGATGAAGTGTTCCATGATTCATTGTTTGTGCACAACACCCAGTGCTCCATGCAGAACGTGCCCTCCTCAATACCCACCACCAGGCTAACCCATCCTCCCACCCCCCTCCCCTCTAGAACCCTGTTTGTTTTTCAGAGTCCATCGTCTCTCATGGTTCGTCTACCCCTCCGATTTAATTTTATTTTTAATTGTGCTTTTATTGTTTCCATTTTATTTTATTTTATTTTATTTTTTTAAGATTTATTTATTTATTTGAGAGAGCGAGAATGAGAGAGAGAGAGAGTACATGAGGGGGGAGGGTCAGAGGAAGAAGCAGGCTCCCCACAGAGCAGGGAGCCCGATGCAGGACTCGATCCCGGGACTCCGGGATCATGACCTGAGCTGAAGGCAGCCGCTTAACCGACTGAGCCACCCAGGTGCCCCCATTTTATTTTAAAAGAGAGATGAAAGCTGCAATTTGCCAAATTGCTGCACACTTTTTCTTGCCATACAACTGCCCTAGCAAGTTAACCTAAAAGAGTTTTCCAAAATGTATTTTTAATGAGAAACTGAGATCGCTGAAATTTGTCTTGAACATTTTTTTTTTTTCCTTTAGACCTCTTAGGGCTCTGGAGTTTCCATACCTCAGTGCCGAGAGCATGGCAAAGGAATTCGGCTCAGCTTAGTAATTACCTTGTGCTAGTCTTGCTCAAAGTTGTTTTTCTCTTAATGGGTTAGGAGAGCCATTCAGATGCTTTGATTCTAGTCATCCAAGTTCCAATGGGGAGGGTAGGTGAATGTGTATGTAATGTTTAGCCTATAAAAATGGCCATATCCAGAGCTTATGCAGAGTAAATTCTTACTAGGGACTCTGAGTAAGGGCAGGTCAATGTGGAAGAAAGCATGAGAAAATGAAAGAGCTGAAGTAAGTCTGGCAGTATCCTTCCTTCTCCTTCTCCAAATTAAGTCTCATGATTATAGTGGACATTTATCTTTGCCCCCTCTCATGGCATGAGGGAAAGATCTTCCCAAAGTCTCCCAGTGTGCTTCCAGAATGCTGACTCACTCCCAGACTCCACAGTGGAGCATGTACATTAGTTTCTCAGACTTTCTGTGGTGAAGGACCAGTTTGCTTCCTCTCCCACTCCCCCATCCACCGTGGGCTGATACTTGCACAAAACGCAGTGCAAATGAATCACTGAAAAAAATGACACAAAAAACAAAGATAAACAAAATACAAGCCTCAGTTTTAATTATTAGACTCAATTACTCTGGCAGATTGTAATAGAAGTGTCTGTCATCCTCAGTGTCTACCCTTGTTGCAGGTGGTAACAAGCATGTGGAAACAAGTGCTGGTCCATGGACCACACTTTGAGTAGCACTGGCTAAGACCAGGCCAGTAGTATTCTCCAGTTCCCGGTAGTTATCTCAGGAGTGTTCTTATGACCTGAGCTGGTGCCATTCACCTGAATATTGGGACTTTAGTTGAGAACACTGGGGCAACAATTCTCTATTTTTTCCTGGCTGGATGCCATCATGGGACCACAAGAGAAGCGGCTTGGGAATGTGTCAACACTGAGAAAGCAGAACCAAGGGATAGTGAGTCAGAACCCGGATCTACTCCTATATTGCAGAGAAATATAAGCCAATAAATTAAAATTAAGCAAGCCAGAATTCATCTGGTTTGCTCTCATCTGCAGGGGGGGGGTCTTATGTGATACAGTGATTAACTGGCATATTTCTTCATGAACTCTCAACTAGTTTCTCTTTTGCCAGTCATCTTTCTGAAACAGAGTATGCCGTTCTTCTGGTTATGAAGCTTCCCACTGCCCTCAGTACAAAGTTCAAGTTTCCTTAAACTGTCACTCAAAGGCTTCCACCGTTGATTCCCCTTCTACTTTTTCAGCACAATTTTTTGCTACTCTCATCCTCAGGCACCTACCGTGCTTTAGCGTGACCAGACATGTATTTTTATATATGTTCTAGGTTCGCTCATGTTCCCTCTGGCTGGATCGCACTTACTCTTCCCACACCCTTTTCTGACTTTCTAAGAATAGAACCTTGAGAACATAAGGTGTTCATTATTCTGAAACATTACGCATCACCATCATTCCTGCTGATTCAAGGGCTAATTTTGCAAGCGTTGGCAGGAGGGCAAATTGATGCACCCAGACATTTGATAAGAGTTGCACTGAGACCCCAGAGATCTCATTTCGTAGGGAATCTAATACGGTTTTACTAAGCAAATCTCAGAAAGCAACATGCTTAGACAAAGTATGACTTTAGTTACTATAAAAATGAATAAGCAAGAGATGAAAACATACATCCACACCAAAGCATGTACAGAAATAGCAGACTTATTCATAAAAGCCAAAGAGTAGAAACAACCCAAATATTCAACTGATCAATGTATAAATACAACATGGTGTATCTATATAAGGGAATATGAGTTGCCATAAAAAGAAGGAAGTATCGATACATGTTACAACATGGACGAACCCTGAGACAGTATGCTAAGTGAAAGAAGGCAGATACAAAAGGCCATATATTGTATGATTCCACTCATATGAAATATCCAGAATCGACAAGTCAGTAGACAAAGTAGATTAGTGGTAACCTAGGGTGGGGGCAGGAGGAATGAGAAGACTGAAGGGTGAATGAAGTCTATGGGGAAGAGTTTCTTTTTAGAATAATCAAAATGTCCTAAAGTTGATTGTGGTGATGAATGCACCACACTGTGAATACACTAAAAGCCACTGAATTGCACACTTTTAATGGATGAATTATATGGTATGCGAATTAAGTCTCAATAAAGTGGTCTAAAAAAAAGAAAACGTATAGGAGCGTTATTCATAGTTGCCAAAACTGGGAAGCAGCCAAGATGTCCTTCAATAGGTGAATGGATAAATCAACTGTGGTACATCCAGACAATGGATATTATCCAGTGCTAAAAAGGAATGAGCCATTAAGTCATGAGAAGACATGGAGGAGCCTTAAATGCATATCATGAAGTGAAAGAAGCAAATCTGAAAAAGGCTACACACCGTAGGATTCCAACTAGATGACATTCTGGAAAAAAACTCTGAAGACAGGAAAAAGATCAGTGGTTGCCAGGGATGATGGGGCAGGATGGGATAAACAGGCAGAGCATGGAGGATTTTCAGGGTAGTGAAACTACACTGTATGATACTATAATGGAGGATCCATGTCATTATATGTTTGTTCAAACCCATAGAATGTAAAACGCCAAGAGTGAACTCTAATGTAAACTATGACTTTGAGTGAGAATGATGTGTGTCATTGTAGGTCCACAGACTGTAATAAATGCCCCATGCTGGTTCTGGACATTGAGAGTGGGAGAGGTTGTGTGTGTGGTAGGGAGGCAGAGGGACATATGGGAACTCTGTACTTTCTGCCGAGTTTTGCTGTGAATCTAAAACTACTCTAAAAAATAAAGTCTACAGAAAGAAGAAGAGGAGGAGGAGAAGGAAGGAGAAGAGGGAGAGGAAGAGGAAGGAGTCCTGAATACCTCACAAAGCTCATCTCAGTTGGCACCAGCTATAAATTTTTCCCTGACCCTTCTCTCTTCTCCTTCCTGGCAGAAGAATTAATTACTCCTTAATCTGTGTTTTCATTGTGTTCTTGTTCCTACTTCCTTTACAGTTCATATCACTTTATTGTAGTTGTTTGCAGGTCTCACTAAACTATGACCTGCTCAGGGGCTGAGGCAATACCTTGTTTTGTTATTTCTACTAGAAATACTACATAGTAGAGTTCAGTAAGTTCGGTGTGTGAATGAATGAGAGACATCTCACAGCTCGCTACTGTTTTCAGTATAGTTTAAAAAGGATTTTTGCCCCAGAATCCGTTCTTCAGGTCTTTTGTTATCCTGAAAATAGCTGTCCCCATGTGGCTTATCCCAGGGACAGTGATGAGGATGGGAATGAGAGAGCATTGAGGACTGTCCCTAGAAAATGGAGGACATATGAGAATCTTGAACCAATGGCGTATCTAGACTTACCTATATGGAGTCTCTTCAAATAGAAGAGTATTATTCTACTAGAGCTTTTGGAAAATACTCCTCCTTGGAGACAGTACGACCAAGTGCAGTATAAAATCCAGGACCAGACTTAGGTGGTGACACAGGTCAGCTGGGGCTGTGAAAAGATCTCACTCCACCAAAAGCCATCTCTGCCCCCTCCGGATGGCTGCCTGAGTTGCTCATGTGAAAGCTTTATTATAAGGCTTAGGGGTTAGATGTATGTAGATTGTGTGAGATGTATTCCTGAGAAGGATGGCATTTTAAACTATCGTTATTCACTTACACCTTACTGAGAGTCATTCGTAATATGGCTCTTGAAAGCAGGTTTTCAGAGGGCAGTAGAGAAAACCTGTAAAGACATTGGTGCCAAGCATGAAAAGGAAAAGGTACCTAAAGGGGTGACAGAATAACAAAAAGAACTTAACTTTTCTTCACAAACTTGCCAGCAGTTAATGGACAAAGTGGATATTTTTAGCCACACAGCTGCTTTAATTTTAGGAGTAGGGTGACTTTTTAAGAAATCACTTATTGTTTAAAATAGAGGTGTTGAGAACATTGGGGATTTCATTGTCAGTGCTCTGCTACTTACAACTGAGTGATCTAGAGAAGTCACTTACCCTCTCCGAGCTTCAGTTTTGTTCTTTCATAATAGGGACACTATAATACCTGTCCTGCTCACATCATGGGGTGATTGTGCGGTTGCTCCCAGTAAACTTCTTTAAAAGTTAGCAAATCATTTACACTTGATTTTAGTGTAGAGAAGGTAAGTGCTGTGAACCTCCCCTACTGAATATCCGTGGAGGTTATTTTTGGTGAGATTATATATATATACCTTTAATATCTTGTTCCTTTAAATTTTGAAGGAACTTCTACCAGGTTCTGAAAAAACTTTTAATTCAAGGCACATAAATGTGCATAAGGATATCTAGTCAACATACGCCCTTTTAAAAGAGAAAGGACGTTCTTTGACTATCTTCTCAAAGAATCATTACTTTGTGTCAGAAAACTGGAGAGGTTGGACATGCAGAGTTGCCTTTTCTAAGGGGCATGATGTGTTTGAGCATTTGCGACCCATAGTACCTGTCACTTTGCTCCTGTGTTCCAGAGATCACCTGGCAATTCACAAATGCAGCAGGACACCTGTCCTGTGTACACGTGTAACTCTCGGCCTGCAGAGGGCTTTTCCCTAGAACAGCACCATGAGGCCCTTAAGGACAGAGACCAGGACTTACAGATGTTTGTGTCTCTTGGCTTCCAAAAGAAAATATTAAAGGAAAATGTGGCTGGGACTGCATGTCAGGATGAGGAGGAAGTGGTGCTCTCGGCAGATTTGATCTTCCGGGCAGGCAACCTGTTCCTGCATAATTGAAAGGAGACTCTGCTGGGCCAGGGTGAAGGCTGTCCTACCCTTTCACAGACGATGAGTTAACAGTGCTAGGCCAGGGGTGTCAAATAAAGGGCATCGCAGTTTAAGAAAGACATGAGGAGTTAGGAGGCCATTCAGAGGAGAGCTGTCATGAAGATAAAGAGTTTAGAAAAGAAGACGTAGGAAGAGTGGAGGGAAATATTGGGATTATTTAAACCTGACAAAAGGAGCCTGGAAAAATGTCACAGGTTGAAACATATGTGGGGATGATCATATAGGGTGGGGCTTCTCAACCCTTTTTCATGGCAAGGCACTCTCAGGGAAAGATATACAAGGCCCACAAGGGCAATCAGATGAGGCTCTTCAAGGCTACCCTCGGCCACCAGAGGCCTGAGGGGATCACTGGCTTAGCGCACTGTAACCTATCCCGGCCTTTGGGGAGTTTATGAACTGTTTGTGCTCCTCCCCAAATTCATATGTTGAAACCCTAATCCCAGTGTGATGGTATGAGGAGATGGGGACGTTGGGAGGTGATTAGGTCATGAGGGTGGGGCTCTCATAAATGAGATTAGTACCCTTAGAAAAGAGACGCCAGAAACCTCTCACCCACTTTTTCTGCCACATGAGGTTGTAGGGACCTGCCTGTGAGCCAAGAAGTAGGGCTCAACAGACACTGAATCTCCTCTGTGCCTTGATCTTGGACTTCTTATCCTCCAGAACTATGAAAAAAATATGTGTTGTTTAAACCACCCAGTCTATGGTACTTCTGTTACAGTGCCGCAACTCACTGAGAAGAGATTTGTACACCTCATAGGGAACTGATGTACAGAACACAGATAGCCTGTATTTTAGGTAGAGTAAGAACTGGGGTCAAAATTTTATGGAAGAGTGAAATAAAAGGAGAAAACACTTTATTCTTCAATTTGAAAAACACTGGATTGTTTTGTCAAAGGGTGTGTCTCTGTGTGTGTGTGTGTGTGTGTGTGTGTGTGTGTAGCATGTCCCCAAGATTTTTATGCAGTTTAGCTTCATTAACTTCAGGAAAGTAAGTGCTACAGACTTACGTCGAAGACCATTTGAAGGTTTAATGATTTACATTTATTTTTGACTGATTTTAGTTTTGGGAATATTGAATAATGCATTATTGATTTTGATTGAGTCAGCCTCTCTGACTGAAGATACTAAAGGCTGAATAAAACAAAAACTGAAATGTGCTATGCAACATGGACAAAACTAAATAAGTGTGAAAGAACTTTAAGGTCTGTATCTGGGCTCATGTGAGGCAAAAACATTTTTTAAAAAGATTTTATTTATTTGACAGAGAGAGCACAAGCAGGGGCGCTGCAGGCAGAGGGAGAGGGAGAAGCAGGCTCCCCGCTGAGCAGGGAGCCCGATGTGGGGCTCCATCCCTGGACCCTGGGATCATGACCTGAGCCGAAGGCAGACACTTAACCGACTGAGCCACCCAGGTGCCCCAGGCAAACACATTCTATAGGAAAGATGGATTTGAGGACATATGTGATCCTGAGTGTAAATGTCAGGGTACAAGCAAAAATTCCAGGTAGTTTTGCAAACTTTCAAGGCAGTGGAACTGGTAAGACCCAAGTCAAGGTCTCCAGACAGTAAAGGGGGACCCAGGTAATATACGGGCTATAGATGGAACAAGCAGAAAATTTCATTAAGGTAGCATAGAGGAATATAGCCATAGGAAATAGGATGGCAGGGTAGGGCAGAGAGACCTGAAGGACCTAGGAGAGGTGGAGGGGTCTTCTGGGTTAGTGGTGGGCGGGGAGGGGTTGTGGACACACCCTCTTCAATTCACCCCACCCCCCGAAACCCTTTGTGACTCTTACGTGTTCTGTGATGTGAGCTTGGGGAGGATATATATTCAGCGTCTGCACACTTAAGAGCTCAGTTGCCTACAGGCAGCCTTGCGATTCAGACAATGGAGTTCAAAAATTGGAATGTTCTCTCATTTCTGAATACCTATACTGAACCATGTCTGAGCTTCAGCTCAACATGGTTGGAGATTGACCCCAACTTCACCTTCCTGTGTGGGTTGGGATTGCTTCTTCTGTTCCTGTGCTACCTGATGCTTCCATTTCCAACTTGGAAAACCAAACCCACCCAAAAGGTAAGGAGCCCTCAACACAGATTATTATGGTTTCCATTTCTAATCCCAAATCTTATTTACTTTAAAGATTTTATTTATATATTTGATAAATAAGACAGAGCCCAAGTTGGGGAGAAGGAGCAGAGGGAGAGGGAGAAGAAGGCTCCCTGTGGAGCACAGAGCCTGATGTGGGGCTTGATCCCCAGGACCCTGGAATCATGACCTGAGCTGACGGCAGATGCTTAACTTGACTGAGCTCCTAATCCCAAAATTTAAAATGAGTTTGGTAGGGTCAGAGAAACACCTAAAATGGGAAGTCTAAGAGAAGAGACATTCGCTTCTCTAGGACAGGAGGTCTGGAAGGGCTAAGGGTTAAGGAAGGACTAAGGTTTCTACTTCAAACTCACAGGCTATCTGGATGTGGTGGCAGGTCTTGGGTAAAATCCCAAACACAGGGATTCTGTAGTCCTTATTTAGAGAGTATGGAATCTGTACGAGAATGTTTCCCAGCATTTGATCATAAGTCACATTCCCATGTCAGGCATCACTCGATCAAGCCTTCATGTTGGGCTGATCAGGAGAATGGTGCTGAGCCTCTGGGAAGAGACTGGGGTCTGAACTACGTCCTAGGATACAGGGTCCTACCTGAGGGAGCACAGATGTGACTGTTGGACTTCATATTCTTTCTTTCTTTTTTTTTTCTTTAAGATTTTATTTATTGGAGAGTGTGAGAGCGAGCACAAGCCAGGCGGAGGGGCTGAGGGAGAGGGAGAAGCAGACTCCCCGCTGAGCAGGGAGCCCAATGTGGGGTTCGATCCCAGGACCCTGGGAGCATGACCTGAGCCGAACGCAGACGCTTAACCGACCGAGCCACCCAGGCATCCCAAGAGAGAGCATAGGCAGGGGGAAAGGCAGTGGGAGAGGGACAAGCAGACTCGCTGAGCAGGGAGCCTGACATGGGACTCGATCCCAGGACCCTTGAGATGATGACCTGAGCCAAAGGCTGACGCCTAACTGACTGTGCTACCCAGGCGCGCCCAGACTTCATTTTCTATGTCCTCATTGAACAAAGGACTTCTGACTGAGACTCTCAAGTGTGGACCTCCCAGATAAAATCCTCCTTTAAATTTTTTGAAGAAATATTGAAAACATTTTATCACCTTTAAAAATCGATAAAAGCAAGGAACACAAAGTTCTATTAATTGAAATAAAGTCGTACTATTCTTGGATAAAGAATGTCTCCATTTTAAGAGTGACGGATGAGTCCCAACCCCCCCCCCCATTCTTTTATTTTTGTTCTAGCGTCAGGGCAGAGCCAAGAGGAGGAGGAAAGGTGGGACTCTGAAAGGTAAGATTCTGCCTATTCTACCTGAGCTCTCCAAGGGTGACCCTTCCTGTCCCTTCCATGAGGGCTCAGGCCCATGACCTCTGAGGAGTCCAGCTGCTAGACACAGTCCCTCTTAGAAAACAGAGGCCTCAGAGCAGTCAGAACCTGAGACCCTTAGATTCCCTGCTCTGACTCTCTTCCTGAGCATGAAGCAGTGATGGATCTGGGCAGTGGGTGTTGCCCAGAAGGTGGCTGTGTGAGATGTCAAGAGTCAGAACTTCTGTCTCCTGACTTTGTGAAAGACTTGTGACATCATGGATACTCAGGACCGACTTTGTGAAAGACTTGTGACATCATGGATACTCAGGACCCTTCCCTGAGGTAACCACTGACCTCTGTGCTTCACAGAGGTGGTCTGAGTATCACATGAGATAATTTACATGAAAGTACTTTATCCATGAAGCAAGAATACTAACCAGGATCACATCATTGACCATTTGACCTCATCTATTGATTATTGGGGCTTTCAGAGTCTAATATCCCATGGGTGTCCCAGAAGGGGACTCCTGTATTAATGCCTATGTTTCTACTTTCACTACATATATCCCATTCTCCCGGTTTCCCAGACTACAGATGCTCCCAGAGAGAAGATGAGGAAGTCCGGAAGCTGATGTCTGTTTTAAGAAGGTGACCAGTCTTTCCCCTTTTATCCTGATCCCTCTTAGAGGACGTTTTATGCAATTGTAGGATTCAGTGCAGCCTGCTATAGCCATGGGAGGGGGTAGCCATAGGAACAGGTATTGGGGTGAAGGCTACTGAGTACGTTGTGAAGTCATAAAGGGGGGGGCATTGGGAGGGGTCAGCAGGCTTCAGGTGGCCCCTCCCTCTTGCCAGGCCAGCATGTCCTCCTTCCCTTGTCCTGGTCCTGGCTGCAGCTTTGTACCTCCTGTCTCCTGCAGCCCCCTAGGCCGGCATCATGATACCATCCACTTTCGTCAACTGCTATGTCCAGACCCCTCCTGTGAGGTGTGTAATAGGACAACTGCTGAGATCAATCGGCTGCTGTTCCCAGAGGCCCTGGAAGATGCTACTCCCTTGGCTTCCACAGCCTCTGTGACTTCCTCATCGTTCACTCTCTCCCCTGACTCCTCAGCAGGCCCTCCAGGAGACCTAATATCAGCTTCTCTGCCTGAGCCTTCCCCACCACCTGCCTCCATCTTCTCACCTAACCCAGTGACCCCCTTGGCTGACTTTTTTCCACCCTCACCACCGGGTGATTCTTTGCCACCAGAGTCTTTTCCTCCCTTGGATTCCGAATTCCCAAAGGACAATTTCCCACCCCAGTCCCTTGCCTTTCCTCCAATCCCACCAAATGATGCTCAGACAGTGGATCCTGCTGTCCATCCAGAGGCCACTTTGTCTCTAAATACTGAGACCTTTGCTTGTCCTAATGCACCACCAACCCTGTCTGGTTCACCACCGCCAGACTGCAGTTTAACTATGACTCAATCTAAATCGATTTCCATCTCAATGACGCCTGTTCCAGAGATCTCATCTCCAGATAGCTCTGGTGGGTTGCCTACTTATGTCCCGACAATCATGGGCATTAATGCTCCCAGATTGTCAATTTTAGACTTCCCTTGGTGGCAAACTCATGCCAAAGACTTCCTCCCTTCAAATTTGGCTCCATATAATGTCCATCACGAGTTGCTGGCCCTCCATTCTTCAGAGGCTTCTTCCAGGGGAGACCCTGCAGCCAAGCTTGTGGAGCCTGCTAACCTCTCACTTCTCAGCCCTGATGTCCTGGCACTCCTAGAGAAACAAGTCCAAAAGAGGAGTGACTTCTGGATGTGGAAGGAAAGGAAAAAGGGTTCTGTTCCAAAACAAACAACTGCTGATAAACATGACTTGGCAGTCCCCCTTCCTTTCTGGAGCAGCAAAGACCAATCAAGGGAGCTGTATGTACATCGGCAGCCCCCATATCCTACAACCACCTTAAAGGAGGGCCATTTACAGCAAACCCCTATCCAGCTCTTCTGGGGTCTCCCAACTCTGCATAGTGAGTCCTTGTTCTCTGCTGCCCATGTCTTGGATAGTTATTCTTCCATCTTCATTTTTAACAGAATCTCGAATGCCTCCACAGAGCAGGAATCCCCAGTAGTTCCCCATCCTCTTCCTCTGTGCTTGCCTGAGAACCAGCCCCAACCCCAGCCCCTACCTATCCCTCAGGTCCAGCCCCAGGCCCACCTTCAGTCCCCACTCCCAATCCTGCCATCTGGTCCTCTAACCCAGATTAAGGTCTGTGGAGTGTGTTTTCACAGACCTGAGAAGGAATCAGAATGTCTCCTGTCAACTGAAATGCAACAGCTGGAATGGAACATGTTGCAGAAGGAACAGGAAACTGTGTGGGGTTTACCCGCTGTTGTCCAAAGATCCCAGGAGGACTTCTGTCCTTCAGCTCCTAACCCTTCTCTTAATCACCGGGCCTCCCAGGCCCGTGTTGCAATCTCTATCCTTCCTGGGCAGTTTCCTCTCACTGATGAGCTTCGAACAAAACTAGAGCGTCACCTTCGAAAGAGGCTCATCCAACACCGGTGGGGCCTGTGCCGCAGGATCTGTAAGTCTCTATCACTGATGAGTCCAAGTATTTTTTCAGAGACCCCTAACTTGCAGCGCTATCATGGACGCACATGGATCTCTAAGAGTGAGAGTAAATTGAGCGAATCTGAAAGCTCTGAGGGGGACTCAGAAATGATTCAGCTAGAGGATGATGACCTGGAGAAGGACAACGATGACCTGGAGAAGGATCAGGGACCCAACCCAGAGAATGGCCCAAAAGATTATCTGTTGAGTGACCCAGAGAGCTCTTCAGGTAATGTTATGGGGTATGATTCTGAAAAAGAACTTAGGAGCCCATCAGAGAAAAACTCAACAGTGTCTGTGGAGACTTTAGGTCAGAGACAACTTGAAAATGTCTTGAAAATACATTTGAGCAAAAAGTTTGAGGAAATCAATGAGGGTCAGCTCCCCGGGACTGTGCACAATTCATGGCATAGTATGAAGCAGACATCGCTTCTTTCTGAGAACTCCCACACTGAAATAAAACAGAGAAGTTTGCCACCATCAGAGGTTCAGGACTACTCCCTGAATACCTTCCAGGAGCTTCCCTTTATTAAATCTAGTGCACAACAGATGCTGGAAGCCCATATTAAAAAGTTTCATATGAGGATGACGTGGGGCCTTCCCCCCAGGGTCCTTGAATCCATAGAGCTCTTTAAACTGATAAAGGACACATCCCATTCTAGCTTTTCCTCCTCAACCAACCTGATTTCTGAGGTAAATTCCAAACCGGGGGGCTTCAACTCCCTTAGAGGCAGCTCTAAATCTCTCCATGGAGACAAAGTGGGAACAGCAAATTCAGCCCCCATCCTGGATCATCCTCTCCCTGCCGCCTCAACTGTGGGCAAGGAAGAACAGAGAATTCCGAGGCAATCACCCTCTGCTTTCAACCATGAGTTTGTAGAGGATGTTCAGAAGATTAAGGATGGCACACAGACTCTTACACCCAACAAACATGACACCAGAGGCAACAGATGGCCCCCAAAGCTGCCTGCAAGGCAAGCTGGGGCCAGACATGAGCCAAAGGATAAGAGTGCAAATTCTAGAGGTAGAGGAGGAATGCAACAGGGCAAAGAGAAGAATCTAGAACCTGTCATTGTGCCCACAGTGTCCAGGGAGATATTCAGGGCCAAGCAACTTGATGCTCATCAATCACAATCTAATACCTTGACAACCAGCACGCCAGTAAGCTCCCAAATCATAAAGGTGAATGATAATAAAGTCAAAACTACCATCCCCATTAAAAGCCCCCCACCAAACCTATCAATTCCCCAAGATCCTAAATCCTCAAGCCTTAAAGAACAACTGTTGTGTGAGTTAAAGATTAAACTGGAAAAAAGAGAGCGTAGCCGGGCCCAAGCCCAACGCACTGGCCTGCCCCCTGCCTCAGAGAGTTTGACTTACAAGGCCTCACTGACTCATGCCCAGGGTGTCTCCAGTGGGGACATGGGAGCTTCTCAGGTGCTGCATGTCCATCCAGAGGACACAGGAATTGGTATGGAACAACAGCAGAAGCCTTGGGTCCCTAGGCATGTCTTAAGGAAGTGCCAGAATAAGAATCTCCCACCAGCTGCGGTGACCATGAGCCCTCCGGGCTCCAAGGCACAAGAGCTTGGTGGAGGGGATGCAGGACTGGGGACATCCCAACTTAAAAGGAACAGTTTCCCTACTGAGGATGTGGCATTGAAGAAGAGGTTCCCTACTCAGGACGTGCTACTGAAGGAAAAGCTGGGAAGCAAGCCTTCCCAGACCCTATCACAGAAGGGTCAGCCGCCTCCTGAAAGCCTTTCCCAGAAGGGTCAGCCTCCTTCTGAAAGCCCTTTCAGAAAAAAAATGAAGCATTTTTTGCAATGGCTTAATCCAGGGATAAAATGCAAGAGGCAAGAAAACTCCCAGGAGAAGCGCAGCCCTCTATCATCTGTGGAAAGCAGAGGCCTACTTAAAGGTAGAACTGCCTTTACTGGGACAACCAAAGCTCAGAAATCCATGACAGACGTTGGGGAGTTCCTAAAAGAGAAAGTGGGGCGTTGGCATGCAATAGATAGCACCTGCCCTCAACAGCCCATTCCCTCCCCAACCAAGTATGGGAAAACTCAGCAGGAAGCACAAGTGCAGGCCCAGGCACAGCCTGTCCAGGGGTATCCTTTCAACTACAGGGCTCCCTCCTGTAAGGTGACAAATACCAAGTCCTGCCACCAACAAGCTGTCTTTGCTGGCCAAGGCCATCCTGGAAGTATTAGACAGATCAGAGACAAGGACAGACAGCCACAGAAAGCTGTGGCATTTAAGGACCAGCGACTGCATAACAAGTATCCCCTATCCACGCCCCACAGGGAGCCTGCACCCCACCCACACGCCACCTGCAGGCATCAAGCTGGCCGGGGGCCTCCGGCCACTCACCACTGCCCAAGGCACTGTGTTCAGAGATCTGACTCTACTCTTTAGACCGAAAACCCTTCTCCAGAATTTCCAGGGGGGGATATTTCCCACCCCAAAATAATCCCTTGTGAAGAATATTGATTCTCTCCAATAAATGTTTCTCTAATAATAGCAATGTCTTTTCTGTGTACTGTACTGGGGGCATGGGTTTCAGGTAACTCAGTTCAGCTGTTACTGATTGCTTCCTTTGGCTTCTAAAAGGTGACTAGTCTCCCGGAGCTCTTGAGAAATAGATATCATGTGCCCCCCAAGACCCCCAAAGCCCAATTCCTGATGAAGTTTGAGGAGATGGGCTCTGTCTCCTGCCCTTTGGCTTAGCCTTACTGAAAATGTATAGTAGCTCACACCTTTGCCCTCATTGAATGTTTTATACCCTTTAGAGCAAGTGTTCTAGGATCAAACACAGGTATAGTTTTCAGAAAATAATGATTAAGCCACTGTTTTTACTTCACTGTTACTACACAGTAGCTTAATCATTATGTAGAAGTCAGTGATCAGAGGATCCCACAGGTGGGTGAACTCTGAATGGGAGTGTTTGGGGGAGGGTGTCGTCCCAGTTGACCTTGGGCGGTTGGGGTAGGGTCGAAGAACAGCATAGATGCTGCTTAAGAATCTGTCATGTGAGTCACGTTAAACTTGACATTGAGGTGTCCCACTGGAAGCGCTCCCCTTCCCTGGGCCTTTCTTCAGGCTGCCCGACTGATGACGTTTTGTGCAGAACAAATGCAGAACAAAAGCATCACTTAGCTGTTAGTGGCAGGAATGTTGACCAGGCAGCTACCACCTTCCAGGGTAAGACACCTTTGAAGAAATGAAAAGTTGAAAGAGTGACCTTGCTGGTGGAACAAAGACTTATGTCTACTCATCCCCTTATCTTGACCCTGTCCTGCTCCCCTTCTTCCTCAGTCTGACCTAAGCACCACCACTTTGAGGCCAATGGGAGCACGGCACAGCCTACTGATGCCTTATACCAAAAAGGCATGGGGCTGTTCCTTGAGTACTCAAACAATATCTGCAGGCTGTCGGGCATGGCATCCCCTTTGGCGATCTTGGTGCCTTCCTTCCATCCATGCTTGATGGCAATATGTCAGATATTGCTTTCAGTATGGACAGGATGGAGGTGCCACCTCTCATATTCACTGGCCTTAGTGGAGCCATGGTAGATCTTCTCCAGAAGATGTGCAACTTATGAGCCAGAGGTGAGTTCTCGACTGCGTACCAGGGTACAGATATTTGGGTGCTTCTCATGGAACTCCATGGAATGCTTTTTTTCAGCCACGACTGCACACGTACGCACACTTACAATAGGGTTTTGGGGGGAAGGCAACTCCATTTGAGACTGGGACTCAAAAACGGGGTGAGTGTCCTAGAGAGCACCTGAGGTAGTCTTCTGGACAGACTCATGACTGTTCAGTGCTAAAACAAAAAACCAGATGTCGACGACCTCTTTCACTACCACAGTTGTACCTTCTTGTCCAGGGTTATCATTGACCATACAGTATCTGAATGTTAGGGTCACAGAAAGAATGCAGATTTTGATGCTGTGGAGGCCCTGAGAGGGACAATAGGTGGGATGGGGCCAACGGCAGGGAACCTGAAGAAGTGAGGAGGTCCTGGAGGCTCTAACATCTATGTGGATAAACCAGCCAATAACACAGCCTGCCAGTTCCTACATAATCTCATTTTAGGGTCCCTTATGGCCAATCCAGTGCAGTTACCACTCCTCTGTAGAGCTTATTACTGGGAATACTTCTGGCATCAGGAATAGTATAGTCTGACATTCTGTCCTTTTGCCTCATCCCCCCATCCTTCCAGTGTATATGTCCCCTCTTTATTTTTCAACTCCTCGTCATTCATTTTCCACTTCTCGCCTATCTACCAAGGCCTTGTCGTCCTTTCCTCACTCTCCAAGGTAGAACTGATGGCTTATCAGGTAACCAACATGTAAAAAGCTCCAGTACAGCATAGGAAGTAGAGTCCATGGTATTGTAATGGTGTTATCTGGTGACAGATGGTAGCTGTAGTTGTGGTGAGCACAGCATAGTATCGAGTTGTATACCTGAAACTAATGATATTGCATCAACTATTCCATTAAAAAAACCCAAAAAACAAAACAAAAAAAAACCAGGCTCCAGTACAAGTGGGCCCCATCTAATCCCCTTCAATCCTTCCTGTCTGGCAAAATCTTGTCTCTCTGCCTTTTCTAGAAATGCCTTTCCGTAAGTATCTGATTACTGTTGGATTAAATCTCACGTCTCACAATTGAGTCTACTCACAATTGAGAGTACTGAGGCCACAAGAAATTCAGCCCCAGCACTACCTGGAAATCATTCACTGATTCCACAGATACTTATCCCAGGCTTACTAACGTGAACAAAATAAATGGGAGTTAGGTCACTATTTCCTTAGTACATTTTCTCCTGTTACTCAGATCTATTTTTATTTTATTTTAAATTTTATTTGAGAGACAGCACAAGCACTAGCAGGGGAAGTGGCAGAGGGAGAGGGAGAAGAAGACTCCCTGCTGAGTAGGGAGCCCCCCATGGGGCTCGATCCCAGGACCCTGGGATCATGACCTGAGCTGAAGGCAGCCGCTTAACTGACTGAGCCGCCCAGGCGCCCCTCAGATCTATTTTAAACTTCCTTCACTTTCTTCAAACTTAGGCCATCTTCACTTGCCCAGCAGATGTGCTAGACCACAGTTCACAAGCGTGACGTGGGAGCTTTTCACAAAACAAAAAACAAAACAAAAACCTTCCAAAAAGTATTTTCCTATTCCTCTTTTTCCTCTTCCTGTTATATGGAAAGAGGTTTCCTTCCCAATCTCAAAGGAAACATACTTTTTGAAATGTCTTCATTGAGAGATAGCTAAATTCTAGTCTCGATGGACTGATCTACCCTTTCCACGTCTCCTTCTGCCCCTCTTCCTGTCCTTCTGAGGCACCCAACATCTTTTTTTTTTTTTAACGCTTTTTACTACAGAAATGTTTAAATACGTACAAGAGCAGATCGAACAATATAACTTCCCACATATCCCTCACACAACTTGCACTATTGTCATTTGGCAGGTGTGTTACACCCATCCCATCTTTTACACTATGATTAAAGTGCAAAAGCCCATTTAAACATCTTGCCATCCCTCTCTGAGACATATGCCATGTGCCCATGTCAAAGCTCTCACATTTCTTTGATATTTATCACCTGCGGAACATACTCACAACAGATGTATGCAGCATTGGTGACGAAAAACCACTGAGCTTTAGAGGCTTTGGCAATCAGTTCTGCTCTGCCATATAGTCAACCCTGAGGAGCCATTTGAGTGAATTCCTCAACTCCACACAAGAAGTAATCTTCCAGAGCAAATTCAGGGCACAATTTCACTGTCCCTTAATCACACAGTAACTGTAACTTTCAAAAAACATAGGAGAACACTTTATGTTGTTAATAAAGACTTGACACTGCTCTGTTTTCAAATATTTAGAAGAAAAATTTGTCCTGTCACTTTTCAAATGAACTATTGTGTTTCAAGTTAAATACAGTAGATCAAACACTCCCCTCTTTCCCAAAATGCCATTAAAAGTAAAAGATGAGATGAAAAAAATGCTCAATATCATTAGCCTTCAGGAAATGCAAATCTTAACCAGTATTTGCTAGCGCTTCACACCCACAAGGATGGCTAAAATCAAAAAGAGAATACAAGTGTTGGTGCGAATGTGGAGAAATTAGGACCCCCACACAATGGTGGGAATGAAACATGGTGCAGTCTTGGAAAACACGCTGGCAGCTGCTCAAAATGGTAAACATAGAGTTATCATATGACCCAGCAGTTCCACCTCTAGGTATATACTCAAGAGAAATGAAAACATAGGTCTACACAAAAACTTGTAGACAAATGTTCACAGCTATCTTATTCATAAGGTCAAAAGACAGAACAATGCAAACATCCATCAACTCAGAAATGGGCAAATAAAATATGACAGATCCATATGATATATTTTTTGGAATAAAGAAGACCAATCCATGCCACAACATGGAAGAACCTTGAAAACATTATGTGAAATGAAAGAAGCCAGTCACTAATGACCACATATAATTCCATTCACATGAAGTGTTCTGAATAGGGAAGTCTAGAGACAGAAAGCAGATTCATCTTAGAGCTGGGGGGAGGACGGGAGAGGGGAATGATAGCAAAAGGGTGCAGATATTTTTCTCTCAAGCCATGACAATGTTTTAAAATTGATTGTGGTGATGCACGTGTCTGTGCATATACTGAAAATGAAGGAATTATACACATTAAATCGGTGACCTGTATGGTATGTGAACTACATACCATAAGTAAAAGTTTTAAAAATAAGTGCTTAAGGATGACAAGAAGGGGAGCATATAAGACAAAAGATGTCAACATATTTTTGGAAGATGGAAATCCGGTGGAGGAGTGCTAACTGACTAGCAGAGCAAACAAAGTGCTGGCAAATCATTCACACTGCAAAACCCAGGAGACGAGCAACCTGGTGGCACTAGAGAAAAAGAAATGAGGGGTTCCGTGTTAATAAAAAAGTTGAATTTTTGTTCTTTTTTTGTTTGTTTTATATTGCACATAATTTCTAAAATCTCTTTTTTTTTTTTTTTGAGTGGGGGTGCTCTTTGCCAGTATTTTGTAAAACCTTGTTGAAATGTTAGCATGCTTCAAATGTGCAGAGAGGATCCCAGGTTTCTTGCGTGGGACAGAACCTGAGACAACTGTTTTAAAGTTGGCATTGCACACGTCTGGGGTCTGAGTATGGTGGAAGCAGCAGCAGCTGGAATCAAAGCCAGAAATCTCAACGGCTGGGTTAAGTTCATTTTTGAAATGTAAGTATTGGAAAATAAACTTGTGCCGAAGTTGCATACATGGTAAAACCATACCATTTATACAGATTTACCTAGTAAGATTTTGACCTGTTTACAATCTCTCTCTCCTTTCCTCCTTCCCCTTCTCTCTACATAGGAACACACGTATACACGTAGAAAAATTATGCATACATTCTTGAATATTTGAGAATACATTTCATGCATCATGCACTTTCTCCCTGAATATTTTTC